CCCCCCCCCCCCCCCAAATCAGATCCAAAACATGAAACCACCCTCTGAAGTCTTTTCCTGAACATACATCCTTGTGAAATATTTGCTCTGCTTTGAAGGGGTCTACATTCATCAATGGCCATAGGATAGGCATGTTTAGGAATACAGAGAGGCCATACAGGAGAGATTTCCTGAGGTGGTTGAACCATACAAAGGCCGGGGCTGTGTTTACACCTGGGCCCAGGCCTAAAACAACAGGCCTGACAGAGGGAGGCCGGAGCTGGAACATCCGACATCTGGATAGGAGGAGATCAACTTCACAGCTCCACACTGCAGCATTATACTCATCCTTCATTATATCACTATCTCACACCAAAGTGACTCATAGTTTGTGTAGAAATTTTGCAGGTACACTACTTTAACTCTTGCATTGCAGAATGCAAAATCACTGTAACTTGGTTTTGGTGTAATTTGACTTGGTTCATCATGTTTTTAAAGCTCAGTGCCGGACTGAAATCACATTTATTCATCCTTTCTGATGTGAAAAGTAATGTGAGCTGTTATTTTTATTACTTAAATTGTTGCTGTTTTTTATTACTAAAAGGAGGAAGGTCTTTGAACAAGTATTGGAAATACTTTTCTTCTCAGCCACTGGAGTTTGACAGCAGCTGGCAGACTAAGCCTGAGCAGGGGTCTGAGACACAAAGTAAACAACTATAGCTTGCAAGCTGTGGACAGGCAGTGTGTTGTTGGCAGTAATGAAGAATAAGAACCACACCGGCATCTAAACTGTTTTAAGTTCCATTTGCAAGTAAGATTACATGCTACATAGCTTGTAAACTGATGTGACTACTGTAATTTTCCCTGTTAAGTGTTTAGTGGCTTGTTTAAAGAGCAGAGCAAGATGTGTTCATGTCAGACAAGTTAGATAGATAGGAGAATTTAGCAGGAAAGCTAATGTGGGTTGGAGTTCAAAGTCTGTGGCCCTTGTGTTGTGTGCCAGGCTGGTGTGTCCTAGAAAGGTGACATTAATGCTTCATGCAAGTTTGGTTTAATATAAAGCAGTGTGATAGATGTGTGACAGAAAGCTAACAGTATGAGTGCAAAGATAAGGAGGTGCCATCATGATACAATGAAATATGAAATCTAATTTTCTGCCTTTTGGTTATGTATGCTGTAGCAGAAAAAAGTATGCAATTAAATTTCAGTCAAATATTTTAAAAAGCACATGTAGCTCTGTTATCAGAAACCTACTAGTAGAATAGCAGTTATTCTCACAAACTCTATAATCACACACTGATGGGAACAAAACAGATCTTCAGCTTTCACTGCTCATTTCCCCAGCTGACATAAACTGCACTGCTTTCTCCCCAACGCCCACAGAAATGAATGGCAACAGACCGCCTTCAGTGCAACAGTACAGTTCTGACATCAGTCTCCCCCTCCCTCCCTCGCCTCTCTCCAAGTCATCTAAGGACATGAGTTTCCCAGGTCCTCTAAGGGCATGATTTGTATGGTTATAAAACTGTTTATTTAGCTATATTATGTCAATAAAAAAGATAAGGTTGTTGACATTTTTACATTCACGTTCCAGAAATACCCAAGAATGAATGTCGAAGCTACTGCAGTATAAAAATTAAACACGTGCGTCTAGGTGAATTTACATTGGTAATATGGGGAAAAAAACCAAGACAGAAGAACTTAACCTTTTTCAAAATGTTTATGGAGTTAATCTAATTTAGGTCAGGAACAACACTGAATCTTATTACAAGCATGACCGTGAGATGTTCTTACCAGATGAATATACGGCACAAAGTAGCCCAGGACAGCTGTAGCTACTCCAAACGCCCATATCCGGTATGTCCTGATGTGAAACACACGCAGATTTAAGTATTTTCTGATCCCAGCCAGAACCCTGCTCCACCTGCTCCGACCCTGAGTGGTAGCCCCTTTTTTTTTTCAGCAGGGCCAGGACCCATGCCAGGTGGTCCCATGCCTCCTCCAGCAGGTAGCAAAGGTTTGAACGTCAGAGCCAGCAGGGCTTGGACCAGCATGAAGAGGCTGAGGATTTGGAAGGTCCTGCTGAGGCCCAGAGGTTCCACCACCTTGTTGAGGAAAACTGGGAGGCCCATGGAGAACAGGCTGGCACCAGCCGTCACCAAGCCATTGGCCAGGCCCAGGCGCTGGCAGAAGTAGTGGCCAAGGATTACTACTGAAGGCTGGAAGGCAAAAGAAGATCCACAGCCAAACAGCATGCCATATGTGAAATAACGAAGGCCCAAAGAGCTGCAATAAAAGAGAAATGAAGAAAAGAAGCTGAATAGGAGCAGATAATCATGAAATAAACGAATGAACTCTAATTATTACATGATCAGTTGTTTTGCTGTAACATTTATTGTACAAATTGATTATTCAAATAAAAAAAGATGATCAGACTCATTTTTTAATGGGCATGCAGCAAAGACAGGTCGTTCTGGCTGCTATTATCAAATTCTTGTAGGTTAAACATCCACACATTGTAGTGAGTTCAGGTATCTATTTAAAAGTTGTTGTTTTTTTTTATGCTGGTACAGATTTTATTGTATCACATTTCAGAAGTTGTGTGTGTTTCCCACTCAAAACCAAGATAGTAGCTGGAAATTACATGTCTATGCTTAACCTATCCATCCATTATCTATACCACTTATCTTGTAGGGGGTTGCAGGGGAGACTACGGCATTTTTAGAGTTGCCAATCAACCTAATTTGCACGTCTTTGGACCTTGGGAGGAAGCCAGAGTAAACCCATGCAGTCACACAGGAGAACATACAAACTCCACACAGAAAGGGCCCAGTTGGCTGAGAGGTTCGAACCTGGAACGCTCTTACTATGAGGCGACACCCTCATTACAACCATCTGTATAGCCTTCCACCCATTCTTGTGAATGTGATATCTTAAACACCTTGAGGGAATTTCTTCAGATTTGGCACTAATGTCCACTTGGACTCAAGGATGAACTGATTGGATTTTGGTGGTTCAAGGTCATGGTGACCGCACATCTCTCTCATTCCTATGAATTGGACTAGTTGGCAGAGTCATACAACCATGAAGAAGTAATTCTACGTATACATTTTCTCAGCTACCTGATTAAAAAAATACAATCCCAACTTATGACACCAGTTTGAGATTTCTTTATTGTGCAGCAGACTGAATATTTTTTCATCCAGATGCTTAGGAGCCTTTAAGGATTCTGAAAATACCTTCAGAACAGTGCTGAGTGTTAGATTAAATGATGTCTTTAATAAATGTATAGTATCTTACTTTGCAAAGGATGTGCTGAGTAGCCCTATAAAAGCTAGAACTGCCCCACCGACGGCAGTCTTCCTACAGCCAAAGCGGTCTGTGAACATGCTGACCACGGGTGAACAGAAGAAGATCATGCCCATAGCCAAGGCTCCAACCCAGGCTGCAGAGGTAGAGAAGAGGAGAGAATTCATCAACAGTAACATTTGGGAACCCTGTATATTGTAGCTATCACCTAAAATAATAAAGTCAATACAAGGCAGTCTGACCATGGCCTGATATGCTAAGAGGAAAAAGTCCATTTAGCATGAAATGCGCTGTGTTGTAAATCAACATATGAAGGTTTTTGTTTTTGTTATTTTGTTCTATAACATACTGTATCCTTTCTTGCATATGGAAACTATAGTATGAAAGTTAAAAAGCCAACACTGAACAAAAAAGCTTTTTTATGCGCGAGTGCCTGAACTGGTATGCAAGCCTTCATGTTTGGTCTCATTTCTTTGACTGTTTGCACGTGCCACCTGTGAGCTCACGGTAGTCAAAGGTAATTGTGCGCTTCCTGTTGAATCTTGTACTTACATTGCCTTGTAGGCATTTCGTGGCTCGCACAATGTAAATATCTTGACATCATGTTTAAATGTCATAATTGCAGAAGCTTTGAAGCCTTTTTATGCAGTGAAGGCTATAGGTTACACAAGTGTTGTGGCATTTCACAATCTGATGTGACTTTCAATTAATATATATTTATGTAACTCAGCCTTGTATTCTGTCTTTACTTGCATCATGTACATCAGTCTGTGAGATTTCTCATTAAGTGTGTGTGGACCCCAGAAAGCGTAGCAGTGACAGCTAATGGGTATTGGAATAAAGAATGAAGTATATTCAAAAACTGGATCAAAGTGGAGAGTTCTGGCCTGTTGTATCCATCCAGTCTTAAAATATAATGAACCAGAATGATCCACCAGAGACACTATGTACCTTGAAGTTCAAACAAACAAATGTCCAATCTCCTGGGGAGCAAAGGTAACTTCAGTGTCTAACATGGTGTTTGGACTGTGGGTCACACTGATCTAACAGCTCAGAGAGACTTAAACAGTTGAAAGGACTGATTTGCCTACATACTGTACATACATACATACACAGACCTACACACTCAGAAACATGATCTCTACAGCATTTTTCAGTCACTGTCGTTGTTGTGTAGGTCAGCCTAAACATTCCGTACTATACAGTATGTTGTATGCATCTACTCGTACGCTACCAATCAAAGGTTTGGATAAATGTTCTCACTGAATTGAATGGGTCGGTGTGTCCAGACTTAAAATAAGATGAAAAGGTGCTAAATTCTCCATATATCTGAGGTGAACTGCAAAGTTAAAATTCTCTGTTCTCACTACAATTTACTCCTTTCACATCATGCGTAGTCACTTGATCCATTGTTAATATAAAATATGAATTATATCAGCTTTAAATATACTGCCCATTAAAGGATAACTGCGTTTTTTTGTGTGTGTTTGTTTTTTTTTTTTTTGTTTTGTTTTTTTACCTGAGATTCGGGGAAACTAAAAGTCGTGTTAAACGGCATCACTGGGGCAATCGGCTAGCCTCCAAGAGAGCTCAGAATAAACATGATGTCAGTCAAATCATTTTTCACACTTATCTCTGAGTCAGAAGGAAAGCAAGGAACACAGGAAGTGTCCACCTGGACTCGTGGACGAACTAATTCGATTTTGGCGGTCAAAAATCAGTGCTCAAGCGCACAATGATCCCCTGTCCATCCCATTCTTTGAATGCAATATTTCAGAAATGCCTTGAGGGAATTTCTCCAAATTTGACACAAACATCTGCTTGAAGTCATGGATGAACTGATTAGATTTTGGTGGTCAAAGGTCAAGGCCGTAGTGACCTCACATCTGTCCCATTCCCGTGAATTTGACTGGTTGGCAGAGGCATACAACCGCAACTCATGTCTACACTTGTGTCCTGTTCCCTACATTTGCCAATTCATACAAGCATAGTGACCACTTTTAACAAAGACACAGGTTTTCTTGACTGAACCTGTAGAAAGAATTACACTCCTCAGGATAAACTCTACATTGTGTGATGTTTCGTGTATGCGCCCTACAGGTTTGTAAGAAGCTAGAGTACATTGTGTACAACATAAAAGGTCCGCGGTGGAATCGAAGGCTATCAAAACTACACACCCATGTCTCATTCCTCCACTCTCTTCTCTCTTTTCTGGCCAATGCCATACCTCTATTTTCTCTGCCTGGCACAGGCAAAGGTCTGTGAATAGTGATGATTAGATCTGAACACTTTCACACAAAAGAAAAAAAAAGAATAGCAAGGGAGACGGAAGCAAAATAAAAAGACTGTGTCTGTCTTGTGAGACAGAATACAACCAAATCATGCAAGCTAGATTAATACTCGTACCATAAAAAATGTCTACTTTGACTGGTATGTATCATGCACAGGTATGTAGCTGTTCCTAGATGAGTTCAATATCTCATAAATACTCCATGTAACCCGGTCACCATTTTATAACATATAATTACACAAAGTTGTTTATTAGGTTTAATCACAGTTTATCCATACCTGACATCCAGAGCCCAAGTGTTCCCTATATGTTGTGTATTGGGTTGCGACCTCCCGCTCCGCCTTGTTTCTTCTTTGTTTGCCCTACCGTTTGTCATATAAATACGATGTTGTGTCATACCCTCTTCCCTTTTGATATGTTCCACTGGGAAGAGGTCAGTTTATTATCTGTTGTAATCCTTTTATTTCTTGTGCCCGCATCCTTATTTTTACTTCTTCTGCATAACTAATGACTGTTGACACTCATACATGTACTGTTATTATGCTGTTATGACATTTGCCGGTGCTAATTACTTAGCTTTGTTCCGACAACGATGTATGCTAACACACTAACATGATGTATTTTTTTTATATAGATTGGGCTTGAGGTCCCGCAGCACATGCTAGGTGCTGATTATTGTTTCATGTTGTCAGGTATGTTATCTGAATATTTAGCACCCTTTTGATATGTTCCACTGGGAAGAGATTGGGCTTGAGATCCCACAGCACATGCTAGGTGCTGATTATTGTTTCATGTCAGATTAAACGGAGCGTGCCTCCGAACGCAGTCCTGTCAACACAACGCAGAAGTCCACCGGTCACACCCGCATGCTAAACAAACCACCTTTTCTTTTGTTAGTATACTGACACTGTGTCTTTCAGGTCTTTTTACACCTTTTAAAATAACACTTACATTTGCATGTACATTTACTGTATTTGTTGTGATGAAACAATTACCTGTGCTGTGGTAACAATATGGGACCAGTGATTAAGTTCACCAAAACTGCTGCTGCCAGTTGTTTACCATAGTAAAGGCTATAGTGCAGTAACAAAGTTCTTTTTCTGTTTGTTTGTTTGTTGTTGTTTTTTTGACAGTCACCATATTTTTTTGTGTTGGCCTTGGACAGTCTTGGCTTTAATTTCAGGGTATTAGCATTCACATCAGATTACCAGGATAGGATTTATAGCTATTTAGTTCCTCCATTTAAGCAGACTTTCAAGAAAAACTGTTCATAGATTGCGCTGAGCAACAAAATCGTTGTTCGTGGAAACCTATTCACTCCAGTGTATTAGCTTGTAGCAGAAATCTGTTATCTCCAGATCTGGACAAAAAAACCCCCATCTGAACAGAGAAACACCTCCACAGTAAGTAGGAAATAATATTTTGGGGTGGAGTGACCAACTCTTTAAAGTTGATCAAAATCTACCTACTCATTTCATATTCAATGTGGCAAAACAATCAAACAACAATGTTCTGATGCTTTCTGAACAGTGTTAATGGCCAGTTTCCTATAAACACGGGGAGGAAATAACAAGTCTGCTAAACAATTTAACATACTGTACTCAAAACTGTCTTGGGTATTCAGAGTTAAAATAACAATAGCCATATATTTTTTTATACTATTAACGGAAACAAAAGGGAACAAAACTGATTGCATGGAACCCGTTCTCTCAAGGCCACACAAAATGTTTCCTAAGCAGGTGCTCGAACTAAACAAAAGTTTAGTTCGAGCACCTGTGTGTGTGTGTGTGTGTGTGTGTGTTGATATGATGTACATTGGGATTTAAACTGAAAAACAGACACATAGTAAAAAGTCTATTGGAAATTAGGAACATTTTCATGAGTTCCATATTGATATTTCTTTTCAGATGATACTGTATCTGGTATATTCTGAGCAGAGCACAAGCCTGCAGATATTTTATTTGACTTATCGCTTAGCTTTTTACAGTAGCTTAGTTAATTCTTCGCAGGGTTTTACTGGACAATTCACTTAATTGTCAAGAAATCCTGGTTATATCTTTGATAAGATGGTTATCCCAGTTACACCCGGCAAGGACAGAATCTTCTACTTGAGAGGTTCTATCAACAAAAACTCAGGTAAGCTAAACAAGCTAGTTCAAAGCTATGTATGTGGTAGTAGCAGGTAGCTAGCAGATACAGTACCTAGCACAAGTACTGTAGCCTTGAGTCAAAGAAACAATAACGCATGCCAAGATAATAAACGTATTAAACATTATCACTTTGTTGTCAGAGATACTCGTATTTTCTAAATGTACTGCTGTACATGTGTATTAGTTTATAATGCTTCAGGAGCCTTTGGAGAATAGAGATCTGACCTGAACCCATCCCCCACACTCTCTGGAATGCCAGAAATGCTGCAGTTCTCCCTGATCTACCAGCCTACCAGCCTAGCTGCCTTGGAGATGCTGGAGAAATCTTGGGCAGGAAAGCTACAGTACAGTCCAGGACAGAGCACTGCAGCATGCTAATGCCTGGAGAGGTTTGCTAGTGACAGCACAGACACCTGTTTGAATGGTTGCTGGTATATTATGTTTACTGAGTTGATATTTTGAGAAATGTCAGCCACTGAGTGTCAATCACATTTCATGAGATTAAAAAAATGTATTCTAACCACAACTAAAGACAGGAAAAAAAACACAATTATACCTTGTTCATTTGAAGGCCAGGGGATCTTCTTGTTTCCCCCATCGTGGAACAGGACTTAAAGGACTTCTCAGTTATTTATAGTCTGTCCATTTTAGACTTACAGTATGTTTGAGTGAACAATTTAGAGCTGCATTACAAAGGGCTCACTACCCACCTATAATAAAAGCAGCATGGTTTTGATTTTTCATTTTAAAAGAATTTAGTGTCACATACTTTACTCAATGCACACCTTGACGCAACAGGGATGAAACCTCTGGTCATGTTGTAATAAAGCAAAATGCCATCTGCAAATCATAATGCATTCACCCTGCCTTCATTACTTTTTTATTTTAAAAATCTCTTCTGATCCCCAACTCATTACTACTGAGCAAGTGTCCAGTATAACTGAGCTCACTGTAGTGACATAATCACACCCCAGTCTTCTATCGTCACCTCACTTCCTTATGCTCCTGTAGTTTGTTGGTTGCAAAGCAATTGACTTGTTTTAGGATGTTCTACACATGTGAATTTAACTTTTACATAGTGCACTCTCTCAGACTGGCTCTTTTAAGAGGACTCTTTAAAGCTGTGACTATTGTTGTTAAGCTGCTCCCCTCTGTTTTCTCCTGCCATTGAGAGGAAAAGGTCAGACTCCTCATTTAATCCTTTCACGTATGAAAACAACCAAGAATTACATTTAAGGAACAGCTGGTGATGAAGTCTTAACAAGCCAAAATAACAGGAAGACAATATAAATACCTTAACATCAACTGCCCGCTGTTGTTTACAACATAAAAGGCATGTCTCTGGTTTCAAAGGACTCTCTATACTGTATCTGTTTTCAGCCCTAACATGTTCAGGGTTCTCAAGATTTCTATTACACAAATGTAATGTGATCCTTTGTTGAGCTGCCCACAAAAACAGTCATTTCCTTCACATAAAAGACAGATAACAAGGTGCAAGGTGCATTACAAATACTACCTTGTGCTTACTTAAAACACTTGAACGATCCTGATCATGCTTATGCCTTTAGTTTATTTTCTCCTCCCTTGTAATTGTCTTCACACTTATAATAACAAAGGATTACATTTGTTCCAGGGAGCACTCTTAGTGTAAGTAAGTAAGTAAATTTTATTTATATAGCACTTTTAACAGACAAGGTCACAAAGTGCTTTACAAAGTCAAAAGATAAAAAGAGATAAATAATATACATAAGCCTAAAAAGTACTCACATAGCACAACACAATTTATAAAATGAATAAACCCAATCAATTAAAAAACTGTCTAAATAAATGTGACTTCAGCTGTTTTTTAAAATCATCAATAGATTCAGTCATACGTAGAGTCAAGGGTAGGGCATTCCACAGTCTTGGAGCTACGACCTGAAAAGACAGGTCCCCCCGAGATTTAAAACGAGTTTTGGGGACCACCAAAAGAGTTTGGTTTACAGAACGAAGAGTACGTTTGGGGGAGTATGGGGTCAGCAGATCGATAATGTACTGAGGCACCTGCCCATGTAGTGCTCTAAATGTCAGCACTAAGATTTTAAAATCGATTCTAGCTTTGACTGGTAACCAGTAGAGCGAATACAAGACTGGAGTGATATGAGCTGTTCTAGAGGTTCCTGTCAGGAGCCTCGCAGCTGCATTCTGGACAATCTGAAGACGATTTAAAATGGACTTATTACAACAGGTAAAAAGAGAATGACAATAATCAATAAGTGAAGAAACAAAAGCATGAATAATCATCTCAAGATCTCCCTTAGATAAAATCTTCCTTAATTTAGATATATTTCTCAAATGAAAGAAGCAATTCCTGACTAACTGTCTTATATGACAGTCAAAGGACATTGCCTGGTCCAACACAACACCAAGGCTTCGAAGGCTCAACTGGACAGAAGAGCCCAACAAACCAAGGTGTTGTTTAATTCCGGCAATCTTAGTATCAGGTGCCACAATAAGTGTAGAAAACACAGGAGGAGCAATGGCAAAGCCAGTCACAGGCGCCATCTTGTCTCTTTAGTGCAGTAATCCCTTCCCACCTCCTGACCTTAATCTTTACTGGTGACTGTGGAAGTTAAATGGAAGTTAAGAAAAATACCCACCCTTTCTCCAAAACATTTTTTTCCACTGAAATCTGGACAGATAATTTTACTGTTTTACACTTTACTCAAGGTGAGAATCCATCCCATTTCTCTCCTAAGTACTAATTCAGTCAGTACTCAAGGACAGAACAAGAAGCCAGTTCTCTGATGTGTAAGACCATCAGCGGACTGAACCCCAAAGCTGCTCCACATACAAAAGCATGACATTCCATTTATGGACCATCTGCAGGTTAAGAAAGTCTTTGCTCTGTAGCTTTCAAACTTCATCTGCATAGAACAAGACTGAGCTGTCTTATTCGTTTAAAATAACATCAGTGATTTCTATTTTAGATTGGATTTTCTTGCCTGCTTTCCATCTTGCCTTTCTGTGGTATATACTGTATTTTAGTCAAAGTTGAAGCATCCAGTAAACAAAGCAAAAGTATCTGCCCACTCAACTGTGAAAGCTAGTGATACAATCCTCAAATAAATAGTTTAAACTGAAGCATGCAGATAGAACAAAGTGAACATTGGCCTTAATCTGGTTGTGTATGTTTATGGCCGAGAGCAGCTTTATTGTGATACAAAGCTCTTAGCTGGATTCTCGTTACTCTCTCCCTCATTTTAATTTGTTCCTTTGAGCTATTTTTCTCTATGTGTGTTTGTTTCCTTCCCCTAGGCTATATGTATGTGTGAATTATGTATTTGGTATTGTCTCTCGTGTGTCCTCCTCCCGGGTCTTTGTCTGGAGGGGAGGTTGCATGGCTCAGGTCTGTTGGAGGCATCTAGAAGTTGGCTTGTCCTACCGGCTCATGTTTTCTATACGTTTACAATATACAAATTTTGGCACTCTGTTGATTTATTCTGTACCCACATCATCTATTGCATGTCTGTACCGCTTCCTCCTCTGTTGCTCTTTGTGAGGCTTCTTCCATTTGTCCCCATTAAAGAGTTGCTTTGGGGAGTTCTTCCTTGTCTGATTCAAGAGTCTAAGGACAGATTGTACAGCCCCTTGAGGCAAACTTACAATTAATTATACTGGGCTATACAAATAAAAACTGGTATAACTTGACTTATTTTTTATTACATGTGACAGAAGTGCTCCGGGTGTAATTATCATATTTATATTCCACATATTCTGTGGAATATTAAGGGGAGCAAGAATTCCACAGAATTTGAAATACTGTATGTAACAATTTCATCTCTGTATTCTGGGGGAATTTCCCTTTATATTTGGACTGCTCAAACTGGCTGATGTTTTCACCACCATCTTCAACCTCTCCCTCAGCCAGAGCATCATTCCCACCTGCTTTAAGACCACAACCATCGTCCACCTTCCAAAGAAGAGCCCAGTCACCTGCCTGAACGACTACAGGCCAGTGGCACTCACCCCAATCATTATGAAGTGTTTTGAGAAGGTGGTGTTGGCCCACATTCAGAGCAGTATATCGGACACCGCATACCGGCCCAACAGGTAGGCATTCTTTCCCCTAGGCTGTATGTATGTGGAATATTAAGGGGGATAAAAATTTTGAGGCAAAGTATTGATACACTTTGGAAAAGTTACTTTGGTCACACTTCTCAGTTACAGTATGCTCACATATTGAAACAGTTGTCTGCAGTACAACCATTTAGCTTTCAACCTTGAGGGAAGAAAAGGCCATCTGAAATGGATTTGCACCAAAGATAAGGTGGATGTCTGTTATCAATGAACATCACTGGTGTTGATCTCAAACAAGGGTAAGGGTCAGTGCTTAATTTGTAAATTATAAGGTCCCAGAATATCACTTGGTGATGGAACTGGCATGTCAATGTGGGGAGAAGAGATCCCGGAATGAAAAAGTTTCCTCAATGGCTGGTGTGTTTGCATAGTTTCCACATTTAGGAAAGCAGCTTAGAGGCAAACAATTGTTTGTTGTGATTGCACTGACCAAAAAAATATATATAAGAAGACACGCATTTCAAGTCCAAGTTATAAATATCAAACACAATAGGACTGCAAGGCTACGGCTTATAATCTGTTCAATCAATAGCAAGCATGGCATCATATTTCAGATCATATGTCCTTGTTTCTAGCACCAGCATATACCCCCCTCAGGAAATAGGCTCTTACCAAAATAATGTCTGTCAAAATTTGGCCCGTGGGTGCCTCTCATCAGCTGCAAGACTGTTTTGAGAGAACCAATTGGGACATTTTTGACCACCCAGACCTGGAGGAGCATACGGTGGCAGTCCTGTGCTACATTAAATATTGCATAGATTCTGTTACTGTGGACAAGCGCATCCGGGTTTGTTCCAACCAAAAACCCTGGATGACTAGAGAGGTTCGACGACTGTTACGGGAGAGGAATATAGCCTTTAGGCAGAGGATTACCACTCCCCCACCCACCCATTACCGACCAGTACTGATCAAGTGATTGTGGTTTTCCAGATATGCTTATTTATTTATTTATTTTTAACGCTTCATGCACTGACATTAATTGAAAGTGCGGCAGGTGTGGCAGGGGATTTAGCATTTAACTTTAGATAGATCACATCTCGCTGCTGTCGACAGGGACCCTTCACTGGTGGAGGAATTGAACCTCTTCTTGGCCCGTTTTGAGGTGGAGCCACCAGAGACAGCTGTATTACAGCTATCAGCCCACAGCGGCCCCTCCCATAGGGTGGAGGAGTATGAGGTGAGGTGCACGCTGAGGTCTGTGAATCCGAGGAAGGCTGCTGGACCTGATGGCATCGCTGGTCGGGTGCTGAAGGACTGCACAGATCAATTGGCGGGGGTCTTTACCAAGATCTTCAATTGGTCCTTACACCAGTCTATTGTCCCACCTTGCCTCAAGTTTTCAACCATTGTCCCTCTGCCCAAAAAATCTACAAGCACCAGCCCTAAGGATTATAGACCAGTCGCACTCACCCCGGTTATCATGAAGTGTTTTGAGAAACTGGTACGCAGTCATATCACCTCATGTCTTCCATCTAAACTGGATAACCACCAGTTTGCATACCGGGCAAATAGATCTACAGAGGACGCTATTAACACCACTCTCCATACTGCTCTGTCTCATTTGGA